AATTAGCACAAATTGATTAGATCAGCCTCCCAACTCTTAACTGATTTGCTCTCAGCTGTTTTGCTCTCAGCTGTTTTGCGCAGGCCTCTGCTGCTTGCTGCAAGGAGGTAAATTGCTGGAGCAGATTTTTTTTCTTCTTGTGCTAATCAAGCTATGGTGAAAATGAAAGTAAAGCAGGCTGTTTGCTGTTTGCTGCAACGAGGCAAAATTGCTCAGAGGCAGAGGGAGAGGGAGATTTCTTTTTCTTCTTTTCCTCACCAAAAAAGGTAGGTGCGTCTTATACTCCAGTGCATCTTATACTCCGAAAAAAACGGTAATTTCTGATCACTGCATCTTAGAGACATAATTATAAGGATTGCTGGTTTGGTTAACATACACAACTTCCTGAAAAGGAACTAATTGTCAGAGAATGAGAATGCAGGTCTTCCATTTTCCACAATTCAGGCAGTTTTAGAAGACTGTATTTATCACTTAGAGAAGGAATAAACAATGCCAGGTGTGTCAAACTGGCGGCTCGCGGACCAGATGCATCCTGTGCAGGCCACATCCACCCCAGCTCTGTGAAGGGAAAAAAATGTCACAATACATCAGGTGATGGCAATGTGACACCACAAGTTTGACACCCATGAACTATGTACTTATATTTGAATATAAGTCCTCACAATTCCTTGAACTTCAGTTCTTCAACTGTGTAGAGCCAGGTTCTTGGTTTTTTTTTTCTTCTTCTTCTTTTTCATAGCTGGCTTATTTGGAAGTGATTATGTAAATTAAACAGAATGTCAATGTACAAAACAAGTTAATACAACAGGAAAATCACTAATATTGACTATAGCAAAGGACCAGTTCCTTTATATTTTACCAGTCTGAGCATCAGTCATAGAATTTTAAACAAGGAGGTTTAATGGAAACTGACCACCAGATGGCAGCAAACACAAGTGAATTGAAATACCTGTACAGTACTGTTCTGACAATCTATACTTGAACAAGTCTATAGTTTAAAAAAACATTTCCAACTCAGTATTCATGTTTTTAAAAAGATTGGGATGGAATGCTGTGGTTGAGGTGAGCAGTTCTTCATAAGGCACTTCTCAGGATATTTCTTTGATGTTCTATGGAGGGAGGGTGCCCTCAAGTCTGTGTTGATTCCTAGATTCTGCTTGGACAATTCCTGCAGGTATTTTGGGCCACAGTTATATAATTTTTTAATAATTTTAAATTTTGTATTGGTGTGTGTTTTAGTTCTGGCTGTGCACCGCCCTGAGTCCACTAGGAGAAGGGCGGGATATAAATTGAATAAAATAAAATAAATAAATAAATAAATTTTTGGGAAAGGCTTTTCAGAAGCAATTTACTATTGCCTGCTTCATTAGGCTGAGAGAGAGTGGCTGGCCCAAAGTCACCAAGATGGCTTTGTGTCTAAAGTGGGATTAGTATTCACAGGCTTCCTGTTACTCACCAGGTGATTTAATCACAGAGACTGGTTCGTCGATGTTCATATAGCGGTGTAAATCCAGTCATATTTAAGGACTGGAAATCAATGGGGTTTTTTAAAAACAGAAATAACTAACTTGTCTCACTGATTTCAGCAAGGATTTCTGCAAATACTCTATGAGGAAGGTTAAGGGTTGAATCATGTTGTTATAAGCTACTGTATATAGCTTATTCATCTCACATGATGTGATTCTGGGCAAAAGCCAAACAGGCCATTAAAAACAATTTGAATAAGCATACAAAAAAATACAAAGGTTAATATTATGAAAAGGCTAAGAGAGAGCATCAGATTATGAACAATAGGGCAACCTCACGGGTGGGCTGCTGGGGGTTCGCACGGGTTCGGAAGAACCTCTAGCTAAGATTCTGTGCAGTTCAGAGAACCCCAAAATCCCATTCCTGGCTGGCCCCACCCACCCCATCCCTCCCAGGAGTCCCCACACAGCCCGTTTTGGATGTAGGTAAGTGCAGGGGGAGCACGGAGACTCTGGGAGGGTGAAAAATGGGCCTACTGGAAGTTCGGGAAGGCTGGAAATGGGCCTGTTTCTGGCTTCCAGAAGGCTTCCAGAGCCTGGAAGGCTGTTTTCACCCTCCTGGAGGCTTGAGGAAAGCCTCTGCTGCCCGGGGAGGGCAAAAACACACACCCCCACACCATGGTGCAGGAGGCTGACTAGGCCATGCCCACCATGGCCACATCCATTCAGCAACCGGGCAGAGAACCCCTTGCTAAAATTTTTGAAGCCCACCCCTGGGCAACTTCATTAGATTTCCATCTCCTTGGGATCCCCAGGTCTGATGAAACAACCAGCTTTTAAGGGATTTATGGAAAGTCAGCAAAGATAGGGCCAGTCTCATCTGGGGGCCGGGGGAAATATTCCAGAGGGTGGGTGCCAAGGTAGAAAAGCCTTGTCTCCTGGGTCCCATCAGATGGAACTCCTTAGTAGATGGGACTCATGGTAGACCTCTCCTGCTGGATCTAATGGGGCAGGCAAACATAATTACTTTTATTTTTATTTTATTTTATTTGTCAAACAAAAATTACAAATTTGAACAGACAAAATAAGAAAATCAAAATGTAACAGGAACAATAGGCAATCTAGTGCATTTACACATGTTCCTTTAGTGTGTGGTCCACAGAAGTTAAGGTAGAATGAAAACTGTGAATGTTGATGGCTGAGACAAGTGAATCAGGTAAACTATTGCAGATTTTGACAATTCTGTTACAAAAATCTTTTTTTTTTACAACCAAGAGGTTTACATTAAATTTAAAGCAATCATTCACATGTGTTGCATTACAATTAAAGCTTAAAAACAATCATTTACAGGTAAAGCATTACTATGTACAATTTTGTATGCAATACCTAAATCTGACTGCAAGTGTCGCAGTTCCAAACTATCCAAACTAAGAATTTCAACCTTAGTAGCATAAGGTACTCTATTATGGACAGAAGAATGCAAGATTTTTCTTCCAAAGTACTTCTGAACTCGTTCAATTGTATTAATGTTCAATATGCGGTAAGGATTCCAGACAATTGAACAATATTTGAGGAGAATACAGGGGGAGACATAGTCCCTCAGATAACCCAGCCCCAGCCGTAAAGGCTTTAAAGATCACCAGCTGAAGCATCTGGATACTCTTCAAGGGCAGGCTCATGTTTAGGAGATTACAGTAATCCATTGTGGAGATGACCAAGGCATAAGTGACCGCGAACACAGCCTCCTGGTCCAGGAATGGGTACAAAACATGCAAAAGTACTTTAAGCATTACCGTTACCTGCTCTTTGAGCAGGATTCATGAATCTAGGAGGACCCAAAGTTATTCTCCAGATCTCTTTGGGGCAGTCCCACCCCATTCACTACCAAAGATGGCAGAGTCTTAGCATTGGCAGGCCCCCAAACCCAGAGCCACCCAGCCTTGCCTGGACTCAGTTGGCGTCATGCACGTGCTTTGCACCAGCGCATTGAATTTCAGAACAGCTGAGGCATGGCAATCCACTCTTCCGCGCCTATCAGCTGGACTAAAAATAAAGGAATATAGGTAGGTATAGCGCAGGGGTGGGCGGGTCCAACTGACGGTTGGAGTGAACCAGTTCGTGCTCACCTCACCATCTCACCTGAACCGGAGAGAACCAATAGCAACCCACCACTGCAGTCTTCCCTGAGGTAAGTCCTACATCGGGGACTGTTAGCAATTCCCCCAAACCCCAAATCTCTTCCCATCCCAAATGTGACCAAACTTCTTTATCTTTATTGGCTCTCAGAGCTCAGGTGACTGTCTCTGGGCACATCTGGCTGGTATGTGATTTAAAGGGCCAGCTGCTTCCCACTCCCTCTGCCATTCCCTATTGTTCAAACCAATAAATGTTTGAAGTAGCAATTCTAAGTGTTTGCCAGCATCTCTTTATTCCTTGCTAAGATACTTCAACCTGCTCCAGGCAAAGAATCTCAAAAGAAGATCTGACCCAAGAACCAGTATGAGAACGGTTGGTTTTGAGCTCATAGTCAAGCTGCTACAGTCAAACTGAACCCCCAACTGAGTTGGCAAGAGCTGCATGGCAGTGTGGCATCCTATGACAATAATACATGGAAGAACCAAGTGAAGCTTCTTATTGGACACAGTCAAAAAACTGGGACTGAATCTCAAAGTATTGTAGCACATATATGAAATAGAGAGCCCTCCACAGACCAGCAACATCCTCACAGTGTATGGGATTCTGGACACGCATATATATACACACACAGAGCAGCATCTGGGTAACCACAAAAGTGTGCAAGAATTTCAAAAGGCATGAATTTATGAAGGCCACTGATTCCATATATTGCTTCAAAGGAGGATTCTTGCTTTGGTTCACACATCTGTGAACCATTTCAGCTGAAGTTTGCTTGAATTCCAACATTGCCTCCAACCATTGCACAGCCCTAGGTTTTAGTCAGAAGATTGAGATCCAACTAGGATTTGACTGAATTAAAAACTTTTGACCCTGAAGTTTCTTTTGTTTCTTTTGTCACTGTAATTGACGCTATCATGGAATAATGTTGAGAATATTGTTTATTTATTTGATTAATGTCTTCGGCTTATTTGCTGGGTCAGAGGACAATGGTGGAAACTACTGCTTTGTAAAACCAGTCTAATAGTAAACTAATATTTGGCATTTCACAGTGCCACCAGCAATCTTCCTAACTGAGGCCCTCTTGCTGAAGCCAATTATCCCATAGGAAAGGATAAAAGTCCTCAAATAGGACAAGAGCAGACAATTATTTCACTTCTTAAATCTGTGGAATGGAATGTGTGCATAGAAAAGGTAACAGCATCCTAGGAGTAACTACAGATAAACTACAGATAGTGGCATTTGTGAACACAAGAATGTTGTGGCCTTCAAGCTGCTCATCCATCCTTCTACTGTCTTCAGACAGTTTATTCGGAATTGAATAAAATTGTCAATTTCCAGCTGACACTCAATAATTAGTCAGTAACTTTCCTATGCTTGTAAAAGTAAATTGGCATTGGAGACACATATAATGACTTTTACTGATTTGCAAAGTTTCAACACAGCAGACTTCAGTGGCTCGTGTCTGGAAACACCTTACTGCAAATTCTTCATAAATAACAGGATATAAATGCTTTTAAAAAACACTCCAATTCAATAAAAAAACATTTCAGCCTTGCAGACTATTTAAAACGTCATTGGCTTCATTTGTAAAATATACATATTTAAATCTGTACACAGTAGGAATACAAAATAACATTTTATATAAGTTACATAGCTAAAATCTAAGCTCCCCTTAGGGTTTAAAAAAATTACAAAAACACACATATACAATCAACATCCTCCTTTTCCACCATATACAATCAAATATACAAAGCTTTCTGCTTTATCTGTAAACTTACAATAGCCTTGGTATAAAATATCCCTACAACATGAATATACAAAATAGTGTACAGTTCATCTCTGCTGTGCAAAGACAGCAAAATTCGACTAAAAAAATCAAAGAGGCAAACCTGTGTCCTTATGCCCACATATACATGTTTAATAGGCACAAAGATGAAAGATAAAGACCTCGGGAAGAGCAGAGGAAAGTTTGATGATGGCAATATATGTGATATTTACAAATAAATGTTTATACTTGAAAAAAAATCAAGGAAAATAGGGGGAAAGGGCTGGTGGATGAGAGAGACCAAAACTATCTTCACGTGAACAGTATATTGTCAATAATTTATCCCCAGCGACACAGCAGTTTGGCATCGTAGTCAAGTCACTAAGTTAGTTTCTCCAACTTGGTCCAGTCCAGAAATGTTGGATTCCTTTCTTTATTATTCTCAGCCAACTTGGCCAACACCTCTAGAAGGCATACACACACACACACACACACACACTTCCTTACAAGGAAAATTGTTAATCAGCCCAATCCTTGGGTGAAATAGTCTCTACTGTTATTTGTAACACAACCTACAATTGAGATTTTTTTTCTATGCTGTATCCATGGAGACTTAAAAAACAAATAGATTTTTAAATAAGAATGCTGGCTGATTTACACAAAACCTAATTAGATTATAACAGCTAAGGCTTCACATCTTGGATAGATATAGCATATGGCATGCAGATGTCTTGTAGATGAATGGTGAGCGTTGCATTTTCCGTATGAAATGCATGGATGTGGAAAGGCATTACCTCTTCAATCAAAGAGCCCTTAATTTATGTACAACCCCTCAATGTCCTCTTTTTTTTTTCCATAAGGAGAAGGTCTCTACGAAACTGTGATCTCCTCATCTTCCTCCTCCTCCCCTTCTTCCTCCTCCTCTTCTTCCGAGTCTGAAAAGTCTGATGGTTTACTGGGACTGCTGGAATGTGTGGGAGAGGGGAGCATCTGGGAATCCAACCTGTCTCTCTGATGTGTGTGATCTGTGGACTGGTGGTAAGCTAAAGAATGTCTTGGGCTCACTGGGTACAATGGAGGAACTGCTGCTGCTTCCTCCTCTTCCTCCCCAATGCCCTTCTTGCCCACGTCACTGAGGTCTGGGTGAGGGTTGAACTTTGTGGGTAAGGTTTGTTCCCGGCAGCCACCGGATGACAGGAGTTCTCTCTCTTTGGAATTTCTCCATTTCATTCTTCTGTTTTGGAACCAGATCTTCACCTAGAATTTTCAAATATACAAGAAAGTAGATCAAGATAACCATACACATGACTTGCATCAACCTTGAAATACTTTTCTGAGGCTAAAAAACCTTTCAAAAACCGCGGTCCTTCCCTTCTTTCAAAGCTCCAATAAGTCCATATACAACAGTGTAGTGTAGAAAATTGATACAAATGAATGCATTTTGGGAAGATTTCAGCTTCAAAACACAACAAAGATAATTTTAAAGTTTGGTCTAGTAGTGGTTAAGGCACAAGACTAGAAATCAGGAGTCTGTGAGTTAGGCATGAAAGCCAGCTGGGTGACTTTGAGGCAGTCATTTTCAGCCTAATTTATCTCAGAGAGTTGTTGTTATGAGAAAAACAGGAGGAGGAAGGAGTATTGGGTATGTTCCCCACTTTGAGGTATTTATAAAAATAATAAAAGCAGCATAAAAAGGTCTAACTCTAATCTACAATATAAACAAAGTGCTGCAGAAATCTATAGGATTCCTCCGGAATCATCAGAGTAGTTTAAAAATTCACATCTCATTGTTAAATATGAGATTTTTGTATTAGAGATTTTTTTTAATGACACTCTGTAACAGGCCTGACCATTATTTGAATCTCCAGGCACCTTGCTAAAAGTGGTAAGAACTTGAAATGTAATACAATCTAGTTTCTCTTCTTTTCAGTTAAAGAAATGTATCAGTTATAAGAAGAAAATAATAAGTCAAGGAAAGTTATAAAAACTAGATAAATATAATGGGCAGAATATATATAAAATATGGGAATAGTGTTGTATAAGTACATTAATTTTTAAGGAGAATTTTTTTTAAAAAAAATCCATATTCAAACACATTTGAAAAGATTAATTTATTGTAGGAAATAGATTGTTAATAAAATTAAAAATGGAGATGAAAAGTGAAGAGAATAATTCTCCACACTTAAATAAAAATGTAAAATAAGGACAAGAAACTTATAGTAAAACTGATTAATAGATTACAAAAGGTAGCATGGCAATTTTTCTGATTTCCTCAAACAGATTAGATTGCCTAACTAATTCAATGTACTTTCTCCTCAGAGTTGACAAAGTAGCCTAATTTGATTGTAATACCTCAAACAAAATACAAAACTATTTTAATTTATATGCTATAATTTTAGACCAATATAGCAATTATTTTATGATCACGTTTCAAGACTTGCTGATACAGATTTAAATTGAATTTTATGCCATAAGAAGATCCAAAGTGATTCATGAAATTCTTATCCCGTATCTTTTCCTCACATTACTTTGGGTTTTCAGGAAACTTTCTTGAAGTTATCATAATACTGAAGAAGTTCCTTGGATCTTAAATCTAATGGGAAGTAATTATTTGCGTGACCTTTTCTTACATAGAGGGAAGAATTTACCCACAGCTCCTCCGCATTTACTGAAAGATGTTCTTTGCAGCTTTTTCCCCCTCCAGCTTTATTTACTTATTTTTAATATTTTGAACATTAGCTGGGCTAAACTCTCAATCTATGAAGATGAGGAACAATCTGAGCTGGCAACTTGATGCCCTGTAAATATTTTGGACTCGTTTCCATAATCCCAAATCATCATCTACAACCAATATTCATCTGTAATATTCAGTAACAACTGTTATCAATTAAAACTGGACGTTAGAACATTCTCTAATTGAAATAATCCCATGCAATTCTACTTTTTATTTTTATCTCTGTAATTCTAGTACCTTTAGCCCCACCTTTTTCAGATAAGGATATGGAATGCTGGGACTCTTAATTCATAAGATCTCAGGTTCTTGGCTTCTTTCTTACCTAAATTCATCTTATAGTTCACTTTAGGGATCCGATCCACTTATAATGATCCCATTGATTTTCTAAAATAAGAAAGCAAGACCCATATCTCCGTCCCATCCAGGGTGGGAATCTGAGTGGAAAGAAAGAGCGCAAGCACTTTTTCTGTGGTTCTACTGTTTTTAAAACTATTATTTAATTAGATAAATATTCTCATCCTAAATTCTCTGTTGTCCTCATTTGAAAAATTTGATCATGCTAACCTTGTTTAAGGATTTTATGGGATTATATAAATACCTTCAATTTTGTCTGTAAGACTTTTCCGTATGCTACGGGCATGCTGTACTTGCATTGCTTAGTATTCCACTGGATGCTTTATTTTACATTAATTTCAAATCCCAAGCTTTCAAGAAGAGACTGGACTGCCATCTGTCAGAAATGGTGTAGCGTCTCCTGCTTGGGAGGGAGGGTAGGACTAGATGACCTACAAGGTCCCTTCCAACTCTGTTAATCTGTATCTGTATCGGCAGCCCCTTAGAGTTGTTGTTCCATTCACTCATTTCTGGTTTCACACAACACACTGAATAATAAACTAACTTCACCAGCTGGGTTTCCACCTTACCCCAGGCCAAATATGATTGGCTAATTTGTTGCTTATTGTAATTGGGTGATTTAGGCTATAAATTAAGAAACAACTCACCAACTGCCTATAGATTGTTTAACCAGTTCATATGACTGGATAGCCGGATAAAGAATTACCTGGGAATCTTTCAGGCCCAGTTTAGCTGCCAGTTTTTTCCTATCTGGTTTGCTGATGTATTTCTGTTTCTGAAACATTTTCTCCAGGGCTTTTCTTTGTACATCTGAGAAAACTGCCCTACGGAGCATCCCTCGGCGAGGTTTCCCTCGAGCAGCCAGGGGCCAAGAGAATGTCCCAGGGATAGGCACCACAGAGGAGGCTGTGAGAAAAAAAGAAAGAAAGAAAGAAGAAGCATTATTGGCGAAATCAGCTGGAAAAAAAATGGAGTCAAGGATATCCCTGTTCCCAAAGAGGGCATCTATATTCTATTCAAATTAATGACAAATCTCCCTGTGATTTGCATGCCTAAAGATATGGCCACTATCTTTAGTTTCCCCTTGTCTCTTATTGTGGCTGCCTTCTTTTTTTCTTTACACAGACTTATTTGGATCTAGCAGAGCACAACTACTAATCTGAATTCATGCAACAGACTTGCTCTTATTTCAGTAAATGTAACTTGATTCCATTTCATAGACTATGTCAATGAATTTACAGCAAGCTTGTTTTGTTACCAAATCCAAAGATACGAAGACAGAAAAGAAAACAAAAGAGCTAAAAAAAAAGGGTATTTTTAAAAGTTACTTTTATTGGAAGATTTTTTTTAGAAGTATACCACACACATCATTACACCCAAAATAAAATAAGGGAGTTCTTTTAAAGCAAGAACAAAGCCTTCGTTTTTACATAAAAGTTGTGGTCAATAGGTATTCATCCTCTTTTTAAAAAAAAAAAAAAATTATGAATCTTTCCTCCCTCTTCCTTACAAAACTTGTAGAATTCATTCTGGAGACATGAAAAGTAACAGCTAATTAGCACATTGACTGGTTCCCAATGGGATTGGTATGATAAAAAGGGCAGAGTTTTGCCTTTAAGTGGAAAGAAAAACTCCCAAAGAGAAACAGAGATTCTAATGAAGCGTGAATAGTAATTGTGTAGTAATGAACTAACAGAAAAAGACTGAGGACAAGCAGCTAAAGCCATATATTATTTGAACAAAAGAGATTTACACTTTCAAACTAAACACAACTGCATGCCAAGCTGCTTGGGGAGAATACTGATGACACAGCCTTCTCTTTCCCCAAATCATTTTCATTAAATGAACATGAAAAGCTATATATAAAGCTCAAGTTGTTTTTGTTGGGCCATTCAAGGACTGGAGAAAGGAAGCACATTCTATTATCAAGAGAATGAATGGAAGAGCTCTTGGCTTTTGGAACAGAATATATGCAGTTGAAGCAATATTTATTAACACTGTTATTTTTAGTCGTGATTTTACTCAGTTCCAAAACTAAGATCTGAAGTTCATTTGGACTAGCTATTTAACTAGTTTATTGCGAATACAGAATTTTCTGCAACTTTATGACCTCCGCTTGCAAGACTAAAGTGTAATATGAAGCATATGAGAATGATCTGGTATCTCACCTTTCCTTTCTATTGCTCTCTTTATATGTGTGTCTCTAATTATAAATGAAGTTGAAAAATCTAAACAGTATAGAATTCTTCAGAAAGGATGGTTATGTTTATATATCACTTCTGGAACATTTTTCTAGACATTTCTTTGAGATATTCCAAAGTTTTTTTTAAAAAAAAAAGTCCTTGGGAGAGATGGCAGGGGACTTATTGGTGAATTCTTAATGACTTCCTTTCCAAGTACTGGTGAGTTGCTTTGCTACAGTCTTAGCTGCTCTCTGTGTATTTCCCTCTTTTTTTAATGCAGAGAAATGAGCTGTATTGGTCCAGCAACATTAAGAATAGGGCAAATTGTTCCGTTCTCAGTTGAAAGTATATAGATAATGTTTTGCTCTATTTCCTTTAGCCTTATTCTGCAGAGCCACAAACCCCTCCTCCATTCCAAGCCTTCTTTGATGCAACCACTCAGCCGAAGCAAACTTTTTGGAGAAGTTGGCTTCGGCCACACCGAAGGGACCAAACAAGGGAACTCCCCATGAGGTCTTGTGAAACCGTTGGCAAAGCGAATGACCCTTAATGAGAAATTAGCCCATGGCTGGTAAATGTCTATCAGCAGCACGGCAGAGTCAGCGCCGGGTCTGTGTGTGGCTGCCCGGAGGGAGCTGACCAAATTGGTCATGGTGCTGAAACTTTTGTTGACGACCGGGCGAAAAAGCCGCGACTCTGTGGGAAAACTGCCGCCTCGAAAGGAAGGCCGGGCAGCAGCTCAGTCAGAAATCAAGCGCCTCACACTTGGACCGTGACCATCCCCGGCTAATTTGCAGTGCCGGGAGGGGGGGGGAGGGGGGGGGGGGGGGGGGGAGAGAGAGAGAATTGGGAAGGAAAATGTCACGCAGTGGCGGCTTGTGCTAAATAGGGCATCAAATTGGCGCGACTGATTCTTGAATGTTGTACCCCGTCCAACCTCTGAACCGGAGGCCCGTCCTCCCCCCTCCTCTCCTCTCCTCTCCCCATCCCTCCAAGGGAGAGAAGGGGGCGAATTCAAGGAATGCTCACAACAAAGGGAATAGCTTCGGGGATGCTGTTAGGCCAAGACTTTGTGGCAGGAATCCGGGCGCTTCAGGGCCAGTTTACACCAGGTTGCAGCCCGGCTAGGAACACCCACTGCCATATACCGGTACCAACCTTCCCCCCACCTCCCCACAAGGCTACTAGGTAGGACAGTCGAAGAGAGCAGGGAAAGCAGAGATGGGCAGTTATGGAAGCCTCTTCCGCCCGCCCCGAAACCTACCTGGGAAATAAGACGACCTAATAAAAGGTTGGAAGGAGCCTTCGAAGTAAGGGAAGGAGAAGGTCTTGACGGGGACGTTCTGGATCAGCGCAGGAGAAGCCTCTGGGGAAAGAAAAGGCGGTTTAGCGAAGACCCCAAGAGCGTCTCAAGTGGGAAGCCCCACATTTCTCCGCTCTCCTGCAGAACCCAGCGAAACACGGAGATCCCGAACTGCTCTTCTGGTTCACCAACGGATTGGATCCTTTACTGGCCAGTCCCCGCTGCTGTGGCGGGAACCAGAGGAGAGGAGCGATTCGGGAGACTGGTTTTCGGGACCCTTGGCAGATTTTTTTTATTATTATTATTATTATCTGCTCCTGGATTCTCTTCCCCTAATATTCACCCTGGGTCTGATTCCTTTTGCGCGGGCGGACCGCTTGCGGAGCCACGAGCGCGCCTGCTCCCCTTTGGTGGTGCCGGGTTCTCGTTACGCGTCCCAGGCCCACCTGGTCGATGACGCGCCGCTCTGCGAGTCCCTCCTTCTACCTCCCTCTTGGAGGAGGCGTCCGACGAGCAAGATCTTCGCCCTTCGGCTCCATTCACCACCCACCTGGTTTCTCCTTCCTTCCCCCCCACACACTTTCCCGACAATCTTTGCAAAGGGCGAGGGGAAAACCGGTTCGCGAAGCCGGCGCCGTTGACGACGCGCTGGCCGCTTACCTGTCCGCGGAGGGGAGGACAGGATGGCGTTGACTCCGAACTTCAGGAAAGTGGCGTCCCCGCTGGAAGAGATCGAGGAGCGGGCGGAGCAGCCGGTCTTGGCGCCGGAGGGCTCGGCAGTCGCCAGCTCGGCTGAGCTCGCAGCTTCGGTCCTGGCTGCCCCGACGCCGGCAACTGGGGGAGACAAGCTGGGCGTCGGGGCGCTTCCTCGGGGTGGATAACCTGCCGGCCGGCCGATCCTCAGGAGATCTTCCACCAAGAAGCCGGAGGGACCGGAGAAGGCGGATTGCAGCGTCTGAGGCAACGTGAGAGTCGGAGTCGGTCGCAAGAGACTCGGGTAGACGGCGGGAGGCGCCAGCAGGCTTGGGAACATCATGGCCCGGGCAAGAGAGCGCGCCAAGAGCGGGGAGGCAGGCAAGCAGGCGGGGATGGAGAGAAGAGCGCTCTGTGCCGGGAAACGGAGGGAAGACTGGCTTACAAATACTACTACTACTAATCGTCACCCGGTGCTTGGCTTCTCTGTCCCTCCCCCCCTTCCCGACGGCCTCCTTCTTCGGCAGAGACCCACCTCGCGAGTCGGCCGGGGGTCTCCTGGCCCCTTCCTCCGCCGCGGTGGGTTTTATAGCGGTCAGCGCCGCCGAGGCGCTTTCAAAAGTGACAGCTCTAACAATGGGGTGCTCCACTTGAGTTTCATTCATCGGGCGCTCGGGGCTCCCTCATTGGTCCGGGGGTGCAATTTATGATTGGATTAGCCTTCATAAGCAACCCGCGCACAATGGGCCGCCACAAAGAAGGTGCGGTCATCAATTTTGCATATTGACCGCCTCGTTGGGGGAAGCTGTCGCTCCAAAGGCGGCCGGCGGCAGGGTGTCCATCCGAAGCCGCCGCGCGCAAGGACGCACCACACGCACACAGAGGGGGGTGGAGGGGGGAGAGAGAGAGGGAGACGAATTAAATGCCTTTTTAAAAAGTTTCCAACGACATCTCACCTCCAAAGGGAAAGAGGAGGGGGGGAATTATTCAAGAAAAGCGGAACCCTACATTTATTTGCATTCAATCGCTGTTTTCCTTTTCGCTTAGGCTAAGGAAATTAGACGATATATTCATATTATCTTATTCTGACATTTTCTAAAGGATGGAGAGTACAAAAGGGGCAAGATGAAATCAGCTTTCTACTGTGGGTGAAAAGGGAGGTTTGAAGTAGGAACCAGTGGTTTATCAGGTCTGTTCCTTTGTCTAGCTCTAGGGTCTAGCTTCCTGAGGGGCAACCAGTTGTTAAACTGAAAAGTGTTGTGGCAAAGACAGTGGTTGCACTTGCAGCTCTAACATTAGTTTCCCTGGCTTTGGGAAAAGATTCCAGAACATGAATCTGTTGTCATCTGAGTCAACTCCAAATGAACAATTGCTCAAAATATAATAAAAATTTTGAGCGTGAATAAAACCTCCAGTACCTTATTCCTATTTGAACTTTGAAAAGTGAAAATTCACCTTTTTTTAAATGGTCAAAACATTATTTCATGAGTCCTGTTCTTGTTATTGAATGAAGGCCAATAAAAATCAGGCCTTCAAATCAGTGTCAACTCTGACGTCAATAAATTTTCTTCCTGATGATTTGGTCCTGATGATGGTGGTGCCAATAACAATAACAGGTCTTTAAAAAAGAAAGAAAATAGCCTGCAGTTAACTTTACCTCAACATGTAACATTAAAAAAAAAGGGGGGGGAGCATAATTGTACTTATTAAATGGATTTGAGGCAAAAACTAAACTGCAAGAATATTTTTAGCTGGTTTGCTCTCCACACCTACATAATTTACAATATTTTGTTATTTAAGGTAAGTTATTTCCAGTGACATTCAAATCCCATTGCTTGAATTTGCTTCAGATTAACTGGACCAAATTGGCTTAAATCCATACACAGTCACAGTGATGGCTTTCAACACTGGATGTTTTTAAGCACAGACAACCCCCCCACAAAAATATAGCTGGAACCTTGGCCCACACCTCCCTGGAATAAGTCATTGAACAAACAGGAATTTTAGTTTTATGTCAAAATGCAAACATGCATAGACTTGCAGCACACCTGTTACTGAAGTCTAAAAGTTAACTTGGCTTATCTCGGTTTTAAATGACTTTTTAAAGCAGACTTTCTGAAAATACCTTTTCTTTCTAACTAGCTAAAGAAGTCTCCTTCACAGCAGGGGACCATTCCCCTAAAACAAGGAGGAGGAGGAGGAGGAGGAGGAGGAGGAGGAGGAGAGGAGAGGAGGAGGAGGAGGAGGAGGAGGAGGAGGAGGAGGAGGAGGAGGAGGAGGAGGAGATGGAATTGGTGGTGTTAAGAGGAGGAGAAAGAAGGAGAAAATGTGCAGAGCAAGGGAAAGGGAAAGTAATGAACATAGCATGGAATCAAAGGCTTAAAAAAACCCTTTCCTTTGCAAAAAGTAACAGATGTGTTAAAAACTTTGTATTTTTTTTTTTTAAAAATCCCCCAATTCATCCTTTTCTGGGGTGAACTTTTAGCCAGCAGAAGCGTGCAGCCCAAGGCAAGCAGCCCTGATCCTATTAAGCATGAAGTAACTGTCACCTTCAGCTGTTCTCCCTTCGCCACACACACACACTTTTCCTCCCTTTTTTACTTGGGAACACAAAGCTTTCTCCCTCCCAAAAATCTTATTAACCAGCTTTATTTCTCCGATAGGAATTTTTTTTTTTAATGGTCATGATCTCCATGTCGGTGCTTTAACCATTCAAAGAAAAGAGAGAGAAAGGCGTGGGCTGGGGAGGGGGGAAAGAAAACTGAAAGTGCATTGGCGATTTATATCACATTAGGAGGAGAAAGAACGCCTGTTCAACCTCTCCCTTGACTCAAATCAAAAAGTTATTTGAGAAAAGGCAAAGGGAATTAGTCAAGGAAAGACTATTCCACCCCTTGCTCCCCCCCCAATCAACTCTCCCCTCCGGATGGGTGGCTGTAGAGCTTTTAAAAAATAGTGCAACCCGAAAGGAAACCATAGAATGATTTCCTATTTAAGGGATGCTTTCTGTGCATTAAATCTGTTGTCCCTTAGTTTAAAGAGAAAGGGAATTTAAATATGCGCAAAGAAAGCCGATGTGGATTGAACAGGCACAATCGAAATTTGAACTGAATTTCTTGCAGAAGACCAAGGGTTGTGTTGGGATACTTTTCTTTGGCTTGGAAGTTTGAAAGAATTCTTACAAAATCACCAAGTGAAAAAGATAAATTTTGCCTCAGTCTGATAGTGAGTTAATCCCATCAGGTCTCCCCCCCCCCAAAAAAAAATAAAGTGGAAAAGTTGTGGGCATCTTATTTGGGGGAAGCTTTACATTACTCTGTAAATACTGAGCTAGTGATTTCAATGATCTGAAAATAGCAGAAAAAGGAAAAAGTGATACTGGGAATCTACAGAGAGGTGTTCAAGAGACATTCATATTCTGACTTCAGGCTTTTCAGACCTCTAAGGTTCTGAAGTGAAGGCTTCTCTTCCCATGTAAATAAATTCCTAGCCCTCCAGTCATATGGAACCTTGTCCATTTAATCTGCAGGTAGGAAAGAAACACATCAAACTTGTTTTAGTATCATGGCTTGTTTCTGCATAGAACTGAAATCTGAGATTTGTAAGAAACTTAAAGGTGGGGCTTTCTGGTTGCCTCTGAAAGCTGAGTTTCATGATTTCCATGAACTGTAGAAATGATAGATTTTAGAAGAAGCCCTCCTATTCTACCACCTCTTACAATACTAGACAACATAGTATCAACTGTAGAGACCGTCAAGGTTCTATAATATCTCAAGACTTAAAATGGAAACCTAACATAAAAATGTCATCAACAAGGCACAACACTTCCTACGTCAACTCAGAAAGCTCAGACTGCCCGAAAATCTGCTGATACAATTCTACAAAGGAATTATTGAGTCTGTCATTTACCAAGACAGATACAAACTTCAACAGATAGTTAGGAACTGCAGAAAAAACCATTGCTACCAGCCTGCTTTCCCTTGTGGACCTGTATACTGCATGAGCCAGAGAGAGCTGTGAAAATATCTACAGAGCCCTCAAATCCTGGACACAAACTGTTTCAACTTCTTTTTTCTAGGATTATAGGGTGTTTCAACAACTAGACACAAGGATAGTCACCCCATGCCATCACTCTCCTAAACAACTAATTCCCACAACACTGTCAAACTATGTAATAGAGCTGTATTACTATTATCCTTCTCATCTTTCCTATTACCTTATCTTCTTATGACTATAACTTTGTTACTTATCTCTTACAATTTATATTGTTTTATTTAGTATCCTAGTATGATTTATGCTGATTGCCTATTTAGTATCCCACGACTATCACTAAGTGTTGAATCTTATAATTTATGATGAATGTATTTTATGATGATTATGATCATGATTTATCACTTGTTCCTTGTATGTACACTGAGAGCTTATGCACCGGTAGACAAATTCCTTGTGTGTCTAATCACACTTTGCCAATAAAAAATTCTATTCTATTAAAAAGGGAAGATAAATTTCAGCCTTCATGTTTTCCCTCAGTAGAAAAATGAAGAAAAGTATTGGGAAAACTGGGATCATACCAAGAAATCAGCTATCTTTAACTCTAGGGCATTAAACTGGAATATCTCTAGGTAAGTGGTTGCAAATGTACCTTGCTTTAACTCAATTCTAGGTACACAACCAAGGCTCTGTTAAGGCATGCTTTGGTAGGGAGTTGCAGTTTGGTGTATTGGTTAAGGCACCACAGGAGAAACCAGGAAGCCATGAGTACTAGTCCTGTTTTAGGCGCAAAGCCAACTGGGTGACTTTAGACCAGTCACTCCCTCTCAGCCCTGGGAAAAAGGCAATGGCAAACCACTTCTGAAAAACCTTGCCAAGAAGACTTGCCAAGGGACTTGTCCAGGCAGACACCAGGAATCAAAACCTGACAGCAGGCACCCACAAGGTTGGAAAGCAAGTTCTGGTGGAACCTAGGGACTTCATTCAGCAAGTGGGGTAGACAGTGTAGGAGTTTTATTTTTAAAATAATAACTGGGGTCTAACAGGATTGTCTTTATGGGCACTGACGTCAACTGCGATTTTGGCATCGAGGGTTTTATCCAGCGGCTCAATTTTAAATAATTCGCCCTTTAACCTCTCAGCTCCGGAGAGAATTCGGGTCGTTTGCAAATGGACCATTTCTAATGGAGGAAGGTTGGTTATGAAAGCCGTTTTGCTGACGTAAAGGCCGGCCTCGAACCGCCGTATAAACTCTTCGCATGGATCCTAGGAGGCCGGGCTGAAATGCTGCGTGCAAGCAACCCACTAACTCCGCGCCCTTTGGTCAAACTTCTTCGAAAAGCTCTTCTTAAGGCCGGTGATCTCTTCCAACTTTTTTGCTTAGACGGAGCGCAGATCCCAGCGGGCCAGGATCCGGCGACCCGCCGCTTTTCGTCCAAGGCCCCGAAGCCAAAGGCGACGCCAATGGGCTGCAATGCAAAGCCTGCTCCGCCCCGGGGATTAAAGCGAGCGCGAGACGAAGCCGGACGCGCCGGCCCCA